ACAGTAGAGCTACACGTGCGACAGAACCTAGAAATGTGAATTCCGCTACACGCGAATTTGAAGGCTGCACAGAACGTGTACGAAATATGAAATTTGACCAGAAAGCACCCAGATAACAAAAATAATCAGCCTATTATCTGAACTTAATGGAAAAAGATGGAGTTGCAACTTCTAACATTCTGCCATTATGAGAAGTTCAAGTTTCTATTCTGACCAAATCTTAAACCTGTTAATGTGGCAACATTGGAACCAGTCGATTTTGAATCTCTTGTTGGCTCTGCAAACCTATCCAGGCGTGAACTCCAGTTCCCTTTATAAATTTGTATATATAGTTCTAATCGAAACTGAAGCAACGGGTCCCTATGAAACACTTAGGGGTTTGTATAGGTAACAGCATTTATACTGAAGTAGATTTGTTTTCCAAATAACGCTAAACAAGGCTTGGTGAGTCTTTATAGCAGTGATTTTCGAGATTCGTTTATACTGAGCAGATGGAATGGTTCACAATGTAGCGGATACTCCCATTTCGTCAGTAGTGGTTGACCTAGACCATGATGAGTGAAGATCTAACTAAGGAGAATAAAACAATTTTTATTTACACTAAATTAACGATGGTAACGATTAAGGTGTAAAGTTAATGTATACTAATGGTCGATTGGTCCGCCTTCGTTTTTTAGGACCTTTTCGAGTCTCTTCAGCATCGAATCCACCATTTTCGATTTTGTGCTCCATTACGTATCGCACTTTTGCCTCCAATGTCTAATGTACAGGTAGCACATTGACCTCTTTCTTCAAAACAGAAAACAGATTTTCAATCATACTAAGATCCTAGTCATTAGGGGGAAGTTGCATGAACTGGACCTTAGAGCCACGCATCTCTTCGGAAGTCTAAAAGCAAATCATAATAATAATAACTTCAAAGGTGTATTCGTCGTGTAAATAGCAAATGAAACGTGAACTGAAAAGTTAGGAAGCACTGGACTGTTTCAACCTGGTTGGGTCTCATCAGCAGTGCGAATCCATCGACCCGGCTAGGGAACGAAACCGGGACTCCATGGGCAGAATGCAAGTATGATACCCACTGCGCCACCGGGCAGTTGATCAGGCCATTTTTAATTAACCATTTACACGATATAGCACGCGATACAGCTGTTTTCAGTTCCAGTTTGAACAACCATTAACCATGCACTTTCGTGCGCCGGTTTTGGTTGCTGTCTTTTGGCTGCCCATTGGGATGAAGAATAGGAGAAGAGAGGAAAGTTGAAAGTGGATTCGAAAGGAAAATGGAGAAGTTCAG